GATCTCATCCCACAAACACACTCACGTGTCTAAAGGACGCTCACTTCTGAATGGGTGGAACTCACCCGGGTAAGTGTTGCAGGATTGGGTTGCACCAGCTGTTTTCTGACCAAATAAAATCAAGGTTTAAATTACATCACATGCCGACACTCTTATCTATGAATCAGGAAACGTTACAGATAAAGCTCTTTAATACTAAATCTATTTTATTTATTGTTTCAGGAAAAAATGCATTACCTTTTACTACTGCTACTAAATTCAATATAATTGTTTTTAAAGTATTTTTTTTTACATTACCATGGGAATAGTACTAGTTTTGCACATTACATTTTGTTCATATATGCTAAACATGTCATATTCCAACTAAACAACAAACAAACAGTCATCCTTCACCTAGATGGGTGGTTTTGTTGTATAAAACACATAAAGAGGTTTTTTCTTGTTGTTGCCCATGCGCCAACTTTTCTTTAAGAGTTATTAGATTTGGAGCACCTTTTTTTAGTATCTTGCACACCATAACATCATTGTTTAAAACAATCCCTCAATGTCAATCAACATATAAATACAAACACATTCAGGTTAAACTGTCTGCTTGTTTGAAACACAGTCATAAAAAAAGTTCCTTTAGTCACTCAGGATGTTAAATGTCTTTATCGCTGCCTAATTTCTCTTTCAAGAAAGTTCAGTCATTTTAACGAAAAGTTTTGACCAACTGTCAAACATGGCAGTGGGAAAAACCCACTGGTACCACCAAAGCTTCAAGTTGTGGTCTTTAAGTTTCAAAGGTGGTTTAAGATATCTGTCCACCAAGGGTTCTCTGTTCCGAACAGTTTTCTTATAAAAACAAAATGTACGGTAACTTGCTGGATCGATTGGTGAAACCTGACCTTTTATGCTACTGCTTTAATTAGACCAAATGTGACTTAATAAAGACTAATCAAACAAAAGCTTTTACCACAGATGAATGCAGTTTGAAAGGTCACACCTGAATCATCTTTAGCTGTTTAATGGAAAGCCATGTGACATCCTCAATTAGTAGCTTTACACATCAGGAGGGGTGGGTTGCAAGAAACACCTTGCACATGTTCATTGTTTATAGTGTCAAACTTTTTAGTAAGAGTTTCAGAGTCCTGTCTCTATGTGTCCCTGTGATGGACTTGCGACCCGTCCAGGGTGTACCCCGCCCCTTGCACAGTGATTGCTGGACATGGGCACCAGCGACCCCCGTGACCCAAAATGGAATAAGCGGGTAAAGATAATGGATGGATGGATGGGTTTCAGAGTCCTGCTCAGTTTAAAGATGACTTTATGTTAGAGTTAAAAAGAGTTCCAATAAAAATTTTGTCTTACCCCCAGGCAGGCTGATTGGTCCACAGCCGTGCCCCTCCACATAGTTTTCCGAGGTGATGTAGATGTGCTTCTTGCACAACCTCCACAGGCCAAAGTGGGCTGCCTCGCAGATTTCATTGAGTCTCTCCACCCGTGGGCTCAGCACGGCCCAGTGGTCCGTCACCACGGCTGTAAACATGCACGCCATGCCCACCATCAACACAAAGATGGCAATCTTTATCTTGGTGCGCTTGTGCATTTTTCCAGGTGGTGGGATTCCTGCTCAGTAACTGTTCGTCTGACAATCTAAAGTCAAATGTGCGCCGCTCTGCGATGTGGACACCGATCTGAAACACTTGTCTCCTCGGTGACTGCTGCAAGCCTCACACAAAGCGGCTTCTTCTTTCCTCTCTCGGCCCAGGACTACTGTCTTCTCTCCCACTGTTGCAGGTCTCTGTGCTTATGGTTCGAAGGGAAGGGGGCCAGACTCCTCTGTCCTACTTTCATGCCCCTCTTTCCCCACACTCTAGGAGCCGCTGGTCCACTGACGGGCTGCAAGTTAAGAGTCAGCTGTTGAGGTAGATCAGATAAGTTGATGACCGGAGCGTCTACTGTGGTGGGTAATGGGTGTGTTTCCTGGGGTGTTGTATGCTATAAATGTGTCTGGTGAGTCAACTCGTCAGGCTCCCGGCCTATCCGGTTACAGCGTCAGTGCGATGAGATTTCAAACATAAGTGCACTAGCAATTTTCTCTCAACTATAGAGTTTTATGTTGTAGTTATAAAAGTTAAAGAAGCAGTTTCAGCAGTGTGAATGTTTCTCTTCTGCTTTTTGTGCTGCAGCATCTGATGCTTCACCTCGTCACAACACTGCCTTGGTGTGGATTTTGCCTTTATAAACTATTTATAAGAAGAAAGTGGATGTGCTTATAACGAGCAGCAGCTAGATTGCAGCTGACGAAAGGAAAGAACAAAACCATTTTCAGTTGTTCCACTTAGTACTTCAACCAGGGGTCATATTTTAGAGCAGGGCTATTCAATTGGTGGCTCGGGGGCCAAATAAGGCCCACGGGTGAACTCAGTTCGGTCCACCATTGGGTTCATTTTAAAATAAAAGTAGATTTTAAACCACAAAACAAACTTACTTAATGACAAAAACTGCTGGATATCCAACCCCTGAGCTCTTGGCTTTCATTAACCGTGCCCCCCTGAGCAATTTAGTTGAATAGCGCTATTTTAGAGGCTTTTTCAGATTAAAATTTTTTTTTAGTATGTAGAAGCTAACTTTGTCAGTAGTATTAATATAAATCAAATGTGTGAGCCGTGTGAATTCTGAAGCTTCTTTAAAGTTAAACCCACAAGTAAAGCAATAAGGAAGTAAAAGGTAATTTTTCTTTTAAACATTAT